GTCGAGAATTAACAACTTAGAAAATACGGACAACAAATCTATTTGTTAGCAACTCTCTCAAGTCTACTTCCCATATCATCCAAGTTGACGTGCAAACATTGGCTCAGCTTAGAGTCAAAGGCACTTTAACACTTTCAAAGTGATCAACCCGTCAAGAAGTGTCATTGGTTTTATAAAACTTGAAATGAAAAAGTAAAACATYGTTGTTACATGAAAGGGTCGACTATATTTTGGTTTAAAAACTCACCCTTTTCGTCATACACCCGAGCTAATAAAATTAGCTACTCATGACGAAAAGTAAATAATGAGAAATATAAATTGCAATAAGTAAAGACATAATATAAATGCGGAAAGTAAATACAGAAAATAAATGACGGAATAATAAAGATGCGGAAAGCGTAATAAATAAATGACGGAAATAAAATGCGAGTAAGCGTAAATAAATTAAAGACGGAATATAAATAACGATAATATAAATAAAGCGATTAAATAAAGCAAGTAAATGGAAAGCGATTAAAGAACTTGAAATGCCAAAAGCTTTGTAATRTTARAAAAYTWGTTCTTCAAGTAGGATGTCAACCTACTTGAGAGAACAAAAGAGAGAAAGAAAGAARTTGGTGAAAGTGGGTGTTGAGGTGTGTCTTAAACTCCTCCCAACAACCCCTATTTATACCAAGGATTTATGGGGGCAAAATAGTCTTTTCACCCTTTCCTAGTTCAAAACTAACTTAAAAGTACATAATACTAACTTAAAAGTACATAATACAAACTACTAATTAGAAGGTAACTAATATAAGTCTTGTAATGCTCCAGCTAATCTGAGCAAAATACAGCTAATGCAACTTTAGAAGTCTTTCACATGTCTTCCAAAGTCATGTCAATCACTTCTAAGTCTCATCCATCTTTCTATCAGCCATCAGGTCATGCTACCACATTTCCACAGCATCAACCTGCTCCAATCTGTCCAAAATAAGATCAATTTAGACCAAAATCCACTAAACATAGATTCATCATTTACTTCAGCATAAAAATAGAGAAAAGAGACAAAATGACTCAAAGTTGGGATATGAAAGCAAAATAACCTATCTAAAAGAGAATAAAAAGGTACTTTACGTACTAAATACTTAGTACGTATCAGGCTTATTAATAATTTTTAGTTAACTTTTTTTTAAAACCTATCACTAATGCTTCATTTGGATGTTTCTTAGTTAGTTTGTTGGGGGCCTATGCCCCCTACCCCTTTAGTGTGCATCCGCCCATGCTTCTGGAAGTTTTTTATCTGTTATCAAGGTCTAATGTTATTGACTATTGCTATTTTAATTGCTTGATCATTTCCGTTCTTTATTATTCAAAATGGTTAACCACTTTAAACTCGTGTTTGTTATTGCTATATGTTTTTGTTGGCTTTTTTATTCATTCATACTTCTAATATGACTACTGATATTTGCTTATGTTGTTTGTATAATTGCTTTTGTAGGCTATTAATATATATTTTTTCCACTATAGTTGGTATTGTACTGTTGTTTGATGACATATCTATTGTTCTTATGAGTTATGACGTTTTTCATGGTTTGATTAATCAATAAATTTTTCCAGTTAAATGTATTTAGTGAATTCTGTTATGTTTGTCATGTTTCATAAACTTTTAATCCTAGCATCTTATCTTTGTAGAGCAAAAAAGAAAGAAGGAAATTCAAATATTTCCATCCATTATTTGATTTTGGGATTCAACTACGAACCACAAGATTTTACTTAAGTGTTTAACCAACCATTGTTTGATTTTGTAAATCTCATGTCTCATTTAT